AGCCCTAAGACACTTTCAACATGTCACATACTTCCTCTCTAGTAATTTTCTTCTATGCCCTTATGTAATAGAAAAAATAGAAAGCACTCAAAAATCAAACTGGTTGGAACCTTTCGGTTTAGCATTTGTACCAAACCTTATCGGTGTGTTCCAAACTCACACCCTAATCTTGGTGACAAAACACGCAGCCTCTCCCAAATGGTGATTTTTGAGAACCCTTTTCATCACCGCAAACCTCTCTGCAGATCTCTCTACCAAAGCTCACCGAAACGAAACCTCAACCTTCACACATTCACCCTCTCCGAGATTAACCCTTCTTCGACTAGGAGGAGACATGCAAGGTTTGAGTGTGTATACTTAATTTCAATATTTTTTTCGGTTTCGTTGGTTACTACCTTTTTATATTTTGATTTTCTGGGGATTATACTTTCACTTCAGTATGATTTGCTCTCCAAACCCTAGTTTCAAAAGTGTTTGTTTTATGGTGAAGAAGTTGATTGTGTCTGTTCATAGCTTTGATTTCTGAACCTGTTAGCTTCGATTGTTGTTGGTGTTTGTGGATAGCTTTGATTTCGAGGGCGTCTTTGGAGTATGGCTTTGCGGTTCCCTCTGTTTATAGTATCGATTTCTATTTTTGTATTTTGGCTTTCATATTTTACTTTTCCTGTTTTTCTAGGTAACAATCGTCCTGACCGGCGACTCCCACCGAGACTCTTCACCGCTGACATGTTTCCAAAGGAACGACCTAATATATACTCTAGGCCTGACCTTCTAGCTTCCATCAGTTATGTGCTACGTGACACCGACGATTTCCAGTATATTAAAGACTTTTGCTTTGGAAAGTTGTTTGACCTCCCAGCTTCTCAATGTCCAGTTTCGTGCCAGTTACTACACTCCTTACTGTCAAGACAACTAATTTGTGATGAAAACACACACTCTGGTCTTTTTTCGGAAGCGATCCTATCAGGTTCGGCCTTCAAGAGTTTGACACCATAACAGGATTTCCGTGTGGAGCTTTCCCTGTAGGTTACAACACAGATTGGAAAGACCAAAGTAAAGCACACCATGACCCAGATTGGATCAAGCTGACTGGAAAGAAGAAATTCATCACCATTGATAAGTTACGGACCAAGCTTGAGATTGATAAAAACATGCCAGGTTGGAAGAAGCTTTGCCTTGCTTTAATAATTATTGTTGATGGTGTCCTCATTGCACATCAACAAAAAGCACAGCCAACTCTGAAGTATGTCAAAATGGTCTTAGATGTGGATGTTTTCTGCTCACACCCTTGGGGTAGAGAGTCCTTTCCGAAGACTATTACTTGCATGAAGCCTCCGAAGTTTGTCCCTCGTAATTGTGAAGACCTGATCGCAGCACTAGTTGAGATGCTAAAGCATGATACTTTCATGCTAAAGGGATTCCCCCTTGGACTACAACTTCTTGCATATCAGGCTATTCCGAAACTGCAGTTAACGATTCCAGTTCATGTTGAATCGTTTCAATCATGGACCTTGACGTTGATCATCTTAATTTTTACCCAGATCCTACCCGAAATGATATACTATGCATCGAAGCTGATCCAGATGTAAATTTCGAACCTATCCTATCCCTTTTTTGTATGTTTTATCCCATTCATTGCATCATTAAACAGTGTTGTAAAGTTTTATTTTTTTAATCTGATTGTCTATTTTGCAGCTTGTTGTTACATCATTGATACTAATAGAGAGTAAAGCACAACTTGGATGGGGGAGTTTGGCCCGATCTTTTTAACGATGAACGAGTGTTATATATGGAGCATCTTATAGCTGATTATCAGCCTTTCCAGAAGCATCTTTGGACTGGTGGAGACACATCTCAGCCCCTTCACTCTCCCACCCCTTGTTGTTCAACCTGTCCTTCAGAAAAAGTCTCTCAAGTCCAAACCAACTTCATGCAAATCGAGTCAACCAAGAAAGTCTTCAAGGAAGGTTTCCACGTGCCATAAGCAGAGATGAATTAGCAATTATTTTCCTCGAACTGGTTCATCCAGGAATTCAAAAGACAAAGTCATGGAAATACTGTCTGAAATGTTAGGCATAGTCTCCAACCTTGAGAAAGAGACAAGGCAGGTGCGGTTATTGCTAAAGCGCAGGAAGGCTCATACCACCATCAAGTGCTCTTCCTTCCACTCTCTCATTAGTCGTACAAAGAAAGGCCAACAATCACATAGAGGATGTAAGACTGAAGCCCAAGAGGAAACTTCAGAAAAGGGGTGTCAAACTGATCTTCTAGACCAAACATGTGCTGATTTTCTAACAAGATAGTATGTTTTCAGTTTACTCTATCACATAGTCTTCAGATCCTTTAAATATGAAAAGTGGAAACTATTGTTTCATTTCTCTATCTCATTGTTTTCCTTTACTTCTCGTAGTTCTCCGTTCCTATGGAAGAAGATGACAAGTTAATCAACTCTCTTGTTGTCAATTAATATGGTGTACATTGCTACGGCTCAACTTCCACAACATCACCTACCAAGTCTGCACCTGTAATCTCTGAAAACGTACCTCAACATCCCATCCACAACCAACACTCTCACGATTCACCCGTGGACACCTCACTTGTCTATACCTCACTTGTCCACACATCACCGATACACATTCCTTCTCTCATCCACAACAAAAGCCACCACGTTTCATCTGTCCACAACCCAAGCCACCACGTTTCACTGTCCATAACACACCTTTAGACACACCCATCAAACCAAATCCAACTACTCCCCCTTACATGCACACCCGTTCGGTGATATACGACTCTAGTGCTCACCCTAACAGCCCTCACTCCACCACCTTTTATTCCATGGTGTAGAAATATTTGACCCCATCATCTCTGATCCCTCTTCTTTTTCTCAACTGAAATACGACCCTTCAACAAACCAAGCCTCGCAAAGTGAACTCCCTTTAACCTCTGATACTTCTCCTAACAAAGGCTCAAGGAGTCTGTCTGGTTTCTAGGTCATGCGAGAACAATCAACGCTTTCCCAGCCACCGCTACATCCAATCCTTTATCCGGTGCCAACTCTTTAGTCCCCAACATCCAGGTAGCGTAGTTATGACCCATCTGCATCTTATAACAAAGAACGATGTTGACATCATCTTTTATTTCAAACTTTGGGCTTTTGATTTTTTTTTATAGGCTCAACAAAATGAAGACAGTGACTTTGTTGAACTGAGCGATGGCTCTCCCAAGAGACCTACGCCAAGACATGTTCCGTCACATGAGGAAAATCAACTTGCATATGAAATCTCTTATGGCAACACTATCCCAGTGGTTGACCTTATCACCCCACTATCTCAAATTCAATGGGATATTTTGGAAAGAATTATGGCCAAGAAAGTCTATGTAAGTCCTTTAAAATACTATCTGATTACTTTCATGATAGGTGAGATTAACTTACACACATTTCCCCGACAGGTTTCACATAACACCTTCACATTTTGAGTTTACCAGCAACTTCCTCCTCCAACTAGTACAGCCTATGCACTGGACATCCGCTTATGTACGCTTCCTTCATCACACTAAAAATAGTTTTCCTTTTATTTTGGCTTCTGCTTTCTCTTACTAATCTCAAATACCTTGCAGCATATGGAAATACTCATGTACATGCTTGCTGGAAGACATAGCCGTATCTTCCAAGATCAGAGCTGGCCTTCACGCCCTTTCCCTTGCATTTGGAATCAAGCTCAGGACCAAAAAATTCAATGCTTCAAGTGGGAAAGCAAGTTTCGACTGGGGGAACAGCTCACTGAAATAGTCCTTCATCTAGGTAAGAAATGGATGAAAGATGTGGTCACTGTCTACACTCCCATGTTATGGGCCAATAAAACATTGGGTTGGTCTTGCGATCAACCTTGACTTGGGTTGTGTTGAAATCCTAGACCCACTGCCCACGCTTTACAGAGACAGTACTGTCGATCATTTCATAGCTCTGATCCTGAAGGCATTACCCTACCTTCTTAAAAAGGTGACTAATTACGACCTTACTCAGTTATGTGGTCAAACACCTTTTGCATGGTGTCGTGTTCCAGACCTGTACATCAACCAAAGATCCGGTGACTGTGGTCTTGTTTGTGTAAAGTTCATGGAAAAGCACGCACATGAGGATCCAGAACCTCACATGTCCAGCTTCACAGATATCACAGTTGATGACTTTCGCAAGTAGTACGCACTTAACATCTACAAGACCATCTTTATGCCTTATTACTATGCTCCATGCATAATATGATCACTTACATTATCAACTTATATCTTCTCATCTTTTAAATTCATCTAGAATCATGTTTGTTTAAGAGTATTTTGTGTTTAATAGTCTGTGGAACCCCTTTTTCACCTGTTAAACTTATGTACCTCTTTTCCGGCCTACTATCATTTGTGTTTTCAACTAATGTTTATTATTTTTGGATTCAAATAACAACTTCTTCCCCTTCCACCATATTGTCAGGTTTAGATTAGGTTTAGATTTATGCATACTAAATGTAAAGTAAATAACTCCAAGCCTGACAACTAAATATACTCCAAGCTTGACCTTCTAACTTTCAATAGTTATGTGCGTGTTTAACATATATACTCCAACCCTGACCATAACCACCAAATAAGTCGTATAACATGTGGACGGACTGAACATTTGTGGACGGGATTAAAATACACATGTAGATGAAATATAGCAGTATTACCCGACCACAATTCAATTCCGGTTATCGAGTTAAATTCAAATCAAACCAACACGGAATAAAGAAGATGTCGACATACTTTTCTTTGTAGACAGGTTTTAACAAAACATGTGGAAGGACATAAGCAACTGACCACAATTTAAATTCGGTTACCTTCTAACCGGATTTTCCTATCAAACTAAACCAAATCAAACCATCTCACACACTTTTCCTTTCCTTTTCATACACCGCCCTACCAATCTCTAATTAGGGATCTCACTTTAGAATGGTCCAGGTTTAAGAGTTGAGAGCAACATGGGATTTGTCTCAGTAGCGTTGCAGTTCCTCCTCCTCCTACCGATGAGCAGTTCCTCCTCTTCTTCCTCTTCTTCCTCTTCCTCCTGTCAAGGATATCGCAGAAACGTGTACGGAGTCCCCGCTAAATGTTGGTGTTGCCAAGCCCTCAATACCTGGGTCTCCGACACGAAGGAGAATTCTGGCCGCAGATTCTACAGATGCAAAATTGCTCTACAGATTTCAAATCTCTCTTCCATTGAACTTAATATAACCTTGCCTACATAAAAAGGAATATATAAAAAATCCCCTTTTATGTGTACTCCATCAAAAGAAGAAAACAGAGAGTCATCTGTTCAAATGGATAGAGGAAATCCTTCTTGACAAGATACGAATGGTAGACGCCAAGCGCATGGATATAGTTAACGACTTCCAAGCACTTACGGTTAAAACACAAGTTCAGCTTGATTCTCAGAGAAATTGGATTGTTGGTCATGATGAACAACTGCAGAACGAAATCAAAGACAAAATGATGCAGATGACTAGATCATTGATGAGGTCACAAGGAATATGAAAGAACAAATTGATGCATAACTCACTACTCACATCAACGCTAACCTCAACACTCGATGGTCCCATGAAAAAGATTGCAGCAGTTATAGCAACTTCTGGAGCAATAGTTTACCTGTATTGGAAGCTCTGATGATACCTTTCTTTTGAGGCAATGTAGTCCAGTATTAGTCTCAACTATCTATAGGTTTTTAGTATCTGCTTTGATATTATGTAACTCAACTATCTCCAACTTCTTTGTCTCAAGTATCTTTAGTTTCTTAGTATCTGCTTTGATATTCTGTAACTCAACTATATGCGATTTTTCGCTTAGGACCATGCTAAGAATCCATCTTAACTCATTTTGATAAAGACCATCCACAAATCCATCTAAATATGACTTATAAAATCATGAGATCATTCAAAAAAACAGCAATGTGTACTTCATTTAACAAAACACAAATCATGGACAGAGTGAATAAATGCAAAATCATTTTCAAACGAAGATAATCAGTAAGAATCATTCTTCAACAAAATGTTATCTCCAACATAACATTCAACAATTGGTGACCAAAAAATATTATGATAGCACCTTCATTCATTAACAAAACGTAATCTCCAACATAACATTCAACTAAACAAGAATGTTTCCTCCTTTCAAAACAAAACACAAATCCGAAACTTATCAATCACTCCGTTTATCTCAAAAAACCACTTCTCCCCAGAAAAAATCCAAGCTGCATCTATATTGGGTTTGCGTAATTGGTATGGTTGTGCCTTTCAATACGACGCCTACCACATTTTTTTGGAATCAGCTTAGTCTTCTTTATCACATGAACCAAACACATGTGTTAGAAAAATCTGCATAATCCCACACAACTTATGGTTTATTTAGATAATAATCTTACCGGAAATTCACCAGTAGATGGAATCATGTTTTTCCTACGACGACCTGGTTGTCTCTTTGTCACATGGAGGTACAACACCATCTTCTCCACTTCCTTCAGTATTTTCACATCACGAGGATCTCCTTCTGCACTTATTATCCCAGCATATGCCTTCCTCCATGTTGATGTCTTGTACCAGTGACCCACCAAAGACTCATAAGGCACTCCCGAACTGTCCGCAACCATCATAGCGTGCCCACATTGTATTTTAATTTTATCAAAATGCTTGCAATCACACTGTTTATTCGTTAGGTGTACACGTTATTTTCCACCAAATTTCCTTATTATTTCACAACTCCACTCAGTTGAATAATTCACTTTACTCCCCTTCATCGTTGCCATGTTCTTTGTCATTTTCTTGTCCACCACTGACCATACCCATGTGTTTCGATGCCTTCTTCCTCCTTGCACTGAACCACCTTGTCATCATCCTTTAAATGAATTTAACTAACTCCATAATAGGTGACGTTTTCTCCTCCACGAGATCATGGTTCAGCTGTTATGTTATGTTACTAGTCATGATGTTATAGCAGTCTCCAAGGAAGTTTTCCCTTCTCCAATGAGAAACACCAATCTTACCCAGATACACTCCACATCCACTTCTCTGAGCCCTTACTTTGCTGTACAGTTCTTTTTACTCTCGATGACGGTCAGCCGTTGCAGTTGATGTAACCATTATCGACAAGTTCTTGCTAGAGTAACGAGAGTTAACGTTTTGTGCCAAATGAAAATGCAAAAACCGTGATTAGCAGATGGATAAACCCGTTTCACAGCTGATGCAATGCATGTTGCACAATCAGATATGATTGCAAGCCTAGGCGAATCACCTAATATCCTCTCCAACTTCATCAAGAACCAAGTCCACGCCTCTTCATCTTCACTGTCCACAATAGCATAAGCTAGTGGGAAAATCTGAAAATATGCATCTTGTCCACTAGCAGTCAATAACACTCATTTGTACTTTCCTCCTAAGTGTGTCCCCTCTACAACCAACACAATTCAGAGCTTCTTAAACCCACTGATAGATGTCCCAAATGCCAGAAATAGATAAAGGAACGGCTCATCACCATCATCATCTACCTCCGTTTCATTATCAACTACTGTCCCCGGATTTGGAAGTTTTAACATGTACAAATACTCAGACAGTTTCAAATAAGAATCTTTTTCAGAACCATGAATGTCGATTAAAGCCTTGGTTCTTGTTTGAGGCGTGTTGTGACTTCTGCTTTGAGACGTGGTTTTGTGCCAACAGCAGTTCCAAAAGTCCATGTTGTGAATCTGGAGGATGTTGAGTTTATACGTGAGGTTGAACGTGAGGTTGAGAGAGTTGAGGAAGAAATCAAGGATGGGAGTTCGTTAGGAAAGGAAGAAGCTTTAAGCGGCAGTAGTTTGGGTGGAAGTGATGGTGTGGATGAGATTGACGATAGAAACGTGAGATCTTGAGGATATGACAAAGAGTTCTGGAGTTCACTTCTAGACGGTGACTATGCTGACTCTAATGCTGTAAATGTAATTTACAATGAAGATGAGATTGTTGAAAACTTAACCAATAAAACTGGTCCATACCGATACACGTGTACCAAAAATGACGGCTTTGACCATGTGGTGGAAGTAGGTGATCTTAGCAATGTTAAGAGTGATTATGGTGGTGATAAACACCCGTGGATGAGGGAAAGTAGCTATAATCCGTGGATGGGGACTGGAAACAACAGTTCCTAAGTGTGAACAAAAAGGAACGTGTTCAAACAAAAAAATGAAGAGTTTGATATTCCACCACTTTTTGATGATACCAAACATGGACTTGGAGGAAGGTGATAGAAGGATCTATGTTGAGAAGGTGTTTGGTAACAAAGTTGACTGCCAGATTTCTCTTACAATATATGCTATAAGGAATCAGTTTCGTTTTAAACAAACTAGGACCAAGATTGATTCATTTTTTGTTGAGTACCCTGATACAAAATGTGATTGACGTGTGACAGCTTTATCACGGCAAGTATCTAAAGGTATATAGAGATTATAGAATTGAATAACATTTGAAATGAAACCATATTACATATTTTGGTTCCGAACTTGAAAGATATATGGACATTAGTCCAAAGTCTTCTTATCAGAATCGTCTAAAGTCTTTTTGTTAGAATCAGGTTGTAAGCTAGAATAATTTGTCAGATTAATCTGAGTTTTAGTCATGTGTATTTATCAATACTGACAGTTGATATTTTAATATCAGTACATAAATTTTAGCTTTTCCAATCAGTTGTTTAAATAACCTGAAAGAAAAAGTGTAACAAGCACAAAATTAGTCATAATTGTTTTTTTGAACTTAAGTTAGTGATAATTGAAGTAATTGTGTTTAATTTATTTTCCGGTAGCTTTTTTTGCCTCTTACTGTGCAACCTGAGGGTTGGTCGATCGAACTCTTAAAAACTCTCTTAACAAAAGTGTTCTAAAGTAGGGTCAAAACAAAAGTTTTGAAAACATTGTTTTATCTTTAAGCATTTCGATCTATTCTCACTGGTTAAAAGAAAAACTCATCACATGCTAATCTACGCGACATGTTTTCTTTTATTTTAAAGATAGGCAACTTGACTAGTTGCTAAACTCAAAAAAGGTAAACAGACACAATACTGTATACAGACTTTTCTTTCACACGATCATTGTTCTTGTAAAAACAAACACATAAAAGTTACTTTTAGTTTGAACTGACACATATCAACACAGCTTTTTTTTTTTGCAACACATATCAACACACTGTTGAAGTTTCCTTTTTGTGAATATACAAATACACATTATAGTTTGTTCTGTTAATACAACCACACCTATTATAGTTTGTTCTGTAATACAACCACACCTATTATAGTTTGTTCTGTTAATACAACCACACCTTAAGTATCCCACACACACAATTTCCGTCATGTTAACACATTATTAAGCTTTACATTTTACCCCAAAAAAAGCACATTAAGAGGAATATATCGTTTTTCAACCGAGTTCGATGATTAGTCTGTGATTCAGCCAAAATTCCCGGTTATCTATATATAATACATGCACATAATGATTTTTTAGTTAGCACAAGCACACATCAAAGTTCACATTCAAAGAAAAAAGTAGAACCGTAATAGATAGACAATAGTGAAGAACGAACAATGACAGTGCTTGCCTATAAACCCATCATACTTTCTCTTTTCTATTACATTGTTCAGTCTCTTTTCGGCATACATATGCAAAGTTAAATAAGATTACAACTTTTAAAAGGGTCAAACAATCGAAATTATTAGAATTAAATTTCTCCTAATTGTGGAAATTCTTAGTGGCAAATCAATGCAAAATATTTGTATACTTATGTGTGTGTTTGTAGGACCATAAGGGTGGGGGATACTATCCACTGTGGTGTACCTATAACTCGGATCAGGTTAATGCATGATAAAATACTTTACAAAAATTCTTGAAAATAAATTATTGAAACACTACTACAAAACATGAAGAGCAAGGTGTGCATATTGGGTTTTAGATTTCTGTGGACATGTTAATACTAATAACTATATATGCTATACTCTAAGAGCACTATTATCGCTAAGTATCTTGTTTAGAGTATCTGATAAATAAAATAATAACTTTGTTCAAAAACGCATCTTTAAATTACATAATTAAAACTACAGCACTGAACTAGTAATAAAAGAACATGAGAAATTCTTGGATTCACCTCATAGGCTGAATCTCTAGATTTAGTGCACCTCTAGATTTACCAACCAATAAAATTTTATGATTTCATATTCAGTTTCTTTTAAAAATAGA